TTCATGCCCCTGAAGCCACACTGACCTTGTTTATCCCTTCCCTTTGCCAAGCTCCCTACTGTCCTCGGCCCTTTGCACTTGTTTCATGTTCTGCCTGGATGGCTCTTCGCCTAGGGCTGGGTTTAACTGGCTCTCACCTGCCCCTCTGGTCCCAAGGTAAGCATCTGCTCCTCAGGAGGCCTTCCCTGAGCACTGCATCAGGAGCAGCCTCTCCCAGAACCACCTCGCAGCCTGCTGTATTGTTTTTCTTTTTTATTTTTTTTTTTGCTGTATCGTTTCTATGGCTTGTGCAGCACATATGCATTTTGTGTGTCTCCCACCCCCAAGAATGCCAGGTGCCCCACATTCTCTCTTGAGGACACCTCAACAGTAGCTCTTACATAGTACTGAGTCTTGGTTTACCGATTCATGAATGAATCAATGGATGAATGAATGAATGAATGAATGTGAGTTTCTGGCACATGAATGATGCTTTGCCTGCATGGCTGGGGGACTGGGGAGAAGCCTTTAGGCCCTCCCTTCCCCAATTATCTGAAACCATCAGAAGGGACCAGGATTTCAAGGATGTAGTTGACATTTTCCCATATACCCTTCCCATTTCCAGCCTTTCACATTTTCTTTTGCACTTTCTTCCTGTCCTCTGCTGGGGCTATTGCCTGCTGAAATCTTACCCAGCCTTCGGGGTCCTACTCAAAGCCATCTACTTCAGATTCTTACTTGAATCCATTGGAAGAATTGGCTCCCTCTTCTGAATTCTGCAGCCTTCTTTTTTTTTTTTGGTACTGGAGATCGAACTTGGGTCCTTGCCTTGCACAGCAGGCGGCGAAACCACTGAGCTAAATCCCTGGCCCCTCTGCAGCCTTCTTGCTATCTCTTTGTGTGGTATAAACACCTGTCTCCTCTGTACTAACCAGCTTGAGCATAGAACATCTGCTAGTAACCCCTGGTACAGAGGAAAAGCTCTACAACATCTGGGATGTAAAGATGGTAAAAGGGTTGACTGGATGGGCATGAAGAGGAAAGGCTTGAGAGGAATTCATAATTGGCACTCCTGACTTCCTGGACAGCTTCATACAAAGACCCCAAAACTAGGTTCCATTTTCAACTTTTTTTCTAAATGGGACATTGCTTTACTACTCTGGGCCTCAGTTTACATGTTTATGAAATAGAAAAAGCAGTGGTAACCTCACAGTGACCCAGAGGCTTTTGTGAGGAATAAGTGAGCTAATAATGCTTTGAAGTGCTTGACTGAATTTCAAGCACATAAAATATACTCAAGGCATATCAACTATTATTACAGACATAGTTCTGAGTCTAGCCTGGGGCTCTCTCTTTCTATGTTGGGAATCAGGGCTATGGGCTATGCTTGGGGTTTCATTATAGATGGCAGAGACACAACAGGAATTCAAGAAAGGATCTTCTTTGCCCGCATTTCTTCATTCCTTCAACAAATATTTTCTGGCACATCTGCTACATGCCAGGGCCTAGGATTCTGCATAGAACAAGATGAGGTCCCTGCCTACAGGGTCTATGTTCTTTTTTTTTTTTTTTTGGTACCAGGGATTGAACTCGGGTCCTTGCACTTGCGCAGCAGGCAGCGAAACCACTGAGCTAAATCCCCAGCCCTAAGGGCCTATGTTCTAAGGCAGGAATTCAGAGAATAAATAGAAAGTAAACAAATATAAAACTGCAGATAGTGAATGTTTTATAAATAGAACAATGGGGGTATTAATGAAGAGTGATTGGCGTTTCCAGAGAGGCTTTTCTGTGTTGGATTTAAGTGGAAACCTGAGAAACAAGAAAGAGGCACTGGGGAGAACGGTGCTGGCAGGGGCTGAGCAATTTGAGGAGCAGGGAGAAGGCTGCAGAGCTTGCAGAGGAGCAGCGGGAGGGAGGATGTAGAGGGCGGAGTCTGAGGACCTGCAGGAATGGAGCCACAGGGACACTGGGCTGTGCTGTTTCTCGATTTAATTCGAAGTTCAGTGGGGAAGCTGGTGTGGGGTTTAAGCAGAGAAGTGATGTGTATGATCTTAGGTTTTGAGATGATCACCTTGACTGTTGATGGCAGAGGTTTGGGAGGAAAGGACAGGCGAGAAATGACAAGGTGGGAACTAACTCCGCTCAAAGTACAGATGGTTCAACTTAAAATTTTTCAACTTAGGATTTTTAAAAAACTTTATGAGGGTGTGAAAGCAACATGCACTTCACAGAAAGTGTACTGCAAACTTCAAAATTTGATCTTTCGGATTTAGCTCAGTGGTTTTGCCATGTGCCTTGCAACCGCACGGACCGGAGTTCAATCCCCGGTACAAAAAAAAAAAAAAAAATTTGATCTTTCACCAGGCCAGTGAGATCCTCTCTGGTAATCCAGAGCAGTGGCAGTGAGTAGCAGCTCCGCTAGCCTCGAGATCACCAGGGAGACATCTGAGTTCTACAGTGTGTATGGTGCTAAATGGGGAAGTGCGGCAGGTGGGGTGCATTAAATACATTTTCTACTTATGAAGACTCAATTTAGGATGAGTTTATGGGGATGAGTTTATGGGGATGTAACCTTATCCTAAGACAGGCACATCTGCAGTGTTCTGGGGACACTGAGTGCCCAGGACCTGCTGGTACATATGGAAACGAAGGACAGCAAGCACCCTAGAATGACTCGTGTTTTGTTCTAGCACCACAGGGTATTGGGTTGAAGCATTTCTTGGCAAGACTTCAGGGAGAGCCCGCTAGAGAAGAAAGGGCAGTCAGGTTTTGACTTGGACATGGAGAAGAGTAGCCTGCTTATCATGAAAATATGCAAGTGAAGGAAGTCTCCCGGATTAATTGACTAATACAACAGTAGATATTAGGGTTGGGGTCACAGATTGGGATCTCATGGACATAGAGATGTCTTTATTGTATGAGACACCATAAGATCTCGGGGTTGGGAGATTGGCAGAAGGGTCCTTCGGTAAGCCCAACCTCCACAGTCTGATGGAGGAAGAGCCAGAAAGGTTGTGAGGAAAATCAGGGCAAGGTGTCACCAAACCCAAGAGAAGCCAGTGTGGTAAAGAGAGGCTATGAGAAATGCTGTCAAGCGGTTGAGGAAGGCAAGAGTGGACCGAAGGGTTGGCACTATGAAAGGTGATGAGGACTAGGGTCTTAGAGATAGGAGCTGACCACAGACAGTGTAAGTGCAGTGTAGGTGACATCTTTGAAGCTGGCTGACATGAGAGAGAGAGAGGAGAAGGAAGACATGTCTGATGGGGATGTGGATGAAAGGAGGGTCTGGTTTGACTTGTTTGTTTGTTTAAGATAAGAGGTATTACAACATGTTTATTTGTTGATGGAAAAGATGAGGACCCAGAGAAATTGACCATGCAGGAGAGAGATGATAATTGCACAAGCGAAGTCCTAGGCAGGGGAGGGGATCCAGAGCCCTGTGTAGAGGCTGGCCTCTTGGGACAGTTCTTGGAGTCAGGACAGGGCAGGCAGAATCTGTGGGACAGGGGTGGGCAGTAGGGCCAGATGCAGTAGAGGGAATGCTGGGACTCCTCAAATATCACATTCGTATGAAGAAGCATGGCTTCTCTCACTATCTGAGGTCTTCCTGTGTGACCTTGGACAAGTTGCTGAATCTTTCTGGGCTGTGCTTCTGCTGGGGGGTGGCGGTTGGGGAGGTTATCATCCTTGACCTACTCTGCCTGTAAAACCACTGATAGATTCCCAGTACAGAGACACCACTGGCTTTGGCCCGAGATGCAGATCATGTTAAAGGTCAGCCAGGCCTTGTCATTCCCCATGTGTCAGGGGTCTAAGTGCTGTGTTACCTTACCCTTTGAGGACACCATGAGCAAAAGAGCTTGCCTTTATTAGCCTATCTGTGACAAAAGACAGAGAAAGGCTCAAAGGGCTGTTCTGGGGATGTAGGGGAGGGGGAGGTCAGGGCCGTGATTCTGTTTCCGCTATCATGAGGCCACAGGGTGGGAAGGAGACAGCACGACTGTAGAGCCAAACCACACACTCAGCTCTGCCACTTTGAAGTGTGTGATTTGTCAGAGGTAAATGCCTTGTGAGTGTCAAGGACTGGGGATACAGCTCAGTGGCAGAGCTCTTGCCTGGCATGCGTGTTCCACCCCAAGCACCAGGAGGTTGGGGGAGATGACCTATAAGACCCTCCTCCTGGATGCCCCCCAACACCATAGGCTAATTTAGATTCATAATTTTCTGTTCTTTTTCTTACAGAGGAATCCAAAAGGATATAATAACCAAACTCTGTGAAAATAGGATCTGTCCTGACACTTTGAATAAAGGCCTTACTGTCCCCCTCTCCATCTGTAAGATGGGACAGTTGGATCTACCTCGTGAGGTGGGGAATAGGATTACTGAGTACATAGCATGTGTTATGCTATAGGGAGGCTCAAGTGAATGGGAGATGAAGTTCTGACTTTTGCTGGGCAGGGGAGGAGGCAAAGACACTTCCCAGACTGTGAACAGTACAGCGGTCTCTTCTTCCAGTTTCTACCCTCTTCCTCCGCAGAAACCAGCCCTTGAGATTGCAGGTGAACTTTTCTTTCCCTTTATATTTGTGAAGGCACAAACTGCTCGAGGCTAGTTTCCTCCTATTCTCCTTTCATCTGTCTATAAACCTGGCCACTGATCTCCCCCTCTCTGCCCTCAAATGAGCCAGGTCCAGGGCTAGGTGGATGGACAACAAGCAGATCAACTCCATCTGCCCCCACCTGCCTCTGCCTTATAGAAGTGGCTTCCTGTTCTCCAAGGCAGTAGATCTTCAATATACTTGAGCAATTTGCATGGGGTTTCTATTTTTTTGTGTCGAGCAAAAGCCTCCTTTAGCTTTTTAAGCCCTCAGCAGTTAGGAGAACCAAGAGGTTATAACCTCACCTTCAGCATAGAAGAGGCGAGAAAGTTATACTGGGTCCCAAGGATGCCGTACTCTGGCCCAAACAGTCCTTCCCCTGCCTCCCCTGGAGATATCTGTGCCTAGAACCCCAAGTCCTTACCTTGGTGGGGATGAGAATGGGCAGAGGCAGCAGGATAATGGGCAGAAGCAACACAATCAGGTAGGAACGATAGGCCCACAGGCCCTGCCAGCAAGTGGTCATGGTGTGGACCAGGTGAGCCTGCCGGAGTCACTGCTACCTGGACCCAGGGAACTGAAGGACTAGAGAGGCCAGCCGGCAGGTGCCCTGAGGCAGGCTTATATAAAGGCAGTAAGTGTTAACCATTGACCCACCCTGGCAATCAGAGTGTTTTTGGAGTCCGGAGGTGGGAGTAAGGAGGAGGGGCCTGCAGGAGGAGTAAATATCAGGAAGACTTTGGAAAGAATGGGAGGGGAAAAGACCAAGGAAGAAAAGCTTCAGGTTCCTTCAAGAAGTTAAGCCCAGAGTTAACTCCTTCTGTACACAGAGGCTGCTAAGGGCTATTGGTGAAAGGAAGGTGCTCAGGGAATCCCCCAGGTAGCCTCTGTGGGGCAAGACCCCCACGGTCCTCCATCTAGCCCAGGACGCAGAAGGTTCTTGGCTCAGCAGATGACACAGGACCCTGGGGAAGGTTGCCCCTGGCTGGGCTATGGAGGTATCCTGCCCTCAGGAGTTTCCAGCCTAAGACTGAGGGCAGCAAGGCTTGAGGCAGGCAGGCCCTCTCTATCCTTCCAGGTGTCAAGTCGCAGTCACCTGTCTTAGCAATGTCCTGCCCGCTGTGTGATAGTAATCTACTGAATAAGCCCTTCCTCCTTCTGCCCCAGTCTCCTCCTGTGCGGCTCAAACTGGACAACCCATGAATGCTAAGTGTTGCTGTGTACAATAAAGATCAGCTTCTTTCAACTCTTCCTGGTCCCCCTCTCCATGCCACACCTCACTCTCCATTTGTATAGGATAAAGGTACCAACCAAGGTCGTCTCAGCTGGGCATGGTGGTCTATATCTGTAATCCCAGAACTCTAGGAGGCTGAGGGAGTAGGATTGCAAGTTCGGGCCCAACCTGGGCAACTCAAGGTTTAATGAGATCCTGTCTCAAAATTAAAAAAAATTTTTTTTAAAAAGATCTAGGAATTTAGCTCAGTGCAAAGGCCTGGGTTCTCTTCCCAGGACCACACACACACACACACACACACACCACACACAGATTGTCTATTTTGGAGTCATACTCAATCTCTCCATGTACCATCCATTCATCCATTTTTTTTGTACTGGGAATCGAACTCAGGTCCTTGTGCTTGCGAGGCAAGCGGTGGAACCACTGAGCTAAATCCCTGGTCCCCATCCATCTTTCAAACAAACGTTTAGCACTGGGCTGGGGATTCAGCTCAGTGGCTCTGCCGCCTGCCTCACAAGCGCAGGAGCCCAGGTTTGATCCCCAGTACCAAAAACAACAACAACAAAAAATATTTAGCACCAATTATGCACTTGGCCCTATACTCAGTACTAAGGATACAGAGAATAAAAAGCTGCTGTTGATAGTTAACATTTGTTCAGCACTTAGTTCGAGCTGCTGATGTTCTATTTCATTGACCATACAAGTACACCACGGATTAGGTGTTACTATTCCATTTCATAGATAAACTGAAGCCTAAAGGCACAGAGCCAGCCAGAGTTCAAACATGCTTTGTGAGTGCCCCAGGGAAAGGGGCACTGTGGGGTAACGTGAACACTGGAGAAATGCAGCAAGGACACCTGGAGGAGAGGACATCCGGGCCAGGGCTTGAGAGTGGAGTCTAATTCAGTCATGCAGTGATGGGGATGGCACACAAGCAGGGAAGAGTGAGCTAAGGCCTCTATCTCTTTATGCCCTCACCCACTCTTGCCCTAATCTGCCCACAGTAGGAGTTCGATTCATGTTTCTGATGGTCATCAGAGTGTGGCGATCAGTGTGTGCCAAGATAAAATGCAGGGAGACTGTTTCAGGTAGGGAATGCAGTTTGACAAAGACATAGAAGCATGTGGAGTTCAGAGAACAGATGGTTCCCTGTGGTCAGTTTGTGCAGTTGTGGGGGACAGGATAGGGAGCTGATAACTGCATTTCTAGAGTGTACAATAGTGTGGTTGTTAGGCCATCAGGTCACTCCTGGGCCCAGTGGGGTCTGTGTGAGACAGACCTCCAATGCCCTGCAGGGTGGTCATAGTGGTGTGGATGGGTTCGAGCCCAGGAAGGCAGGGTGGGAAGCTAGAGTAACAGAGATAGACCAGCCTCCAGCTCCCATTCACTGCCATGCTACCAGCCTGCTATCTGCTCAGGGAAACATGAGCAAGAGCCAGGAAGCCCTGAGAGAGACAAAGGGCTTCAGACATGTAGGACAATACTTGATTCTATTTTACCCAGGAGGAGGCCTCTCCCCTGGCCCCAGGCTCTGGAGGAGCCACCAAAGCCACCAAACTGGGCTTCATCTGCCAGAAACAACATTTGGCATGTGTAAAATCCACATCCCAGTTCATGTAACTCTCCACACCAACTTGTGATGTAGGTTCAGAGCAGCAGGGCTACTTGTCTAGCATCACTTAATATGTGAGTAAGTGACAGAGAACCTGGGCCCATTTCCAAGACTGTCCATGTCCTTGGTTCAGCCCTCCATGCTCTGGAGCTGAGACAAAATTCAGTGTTTTCAAATTAGCTGGCTGCTGTTTGCTTGACACCCCTGGTCTCCTCTCGTAGCCCTCTTCAAAATCATAGGCTCTTGGGACCTTTGTCGATTCTCTTTTGAGGCTCCATATTGGGGGACTATTGCATCAGCAGCAGCCACCAAGTCCCTCTACACAACTAATTCATTTCAAAATCAGTGTCTCAAGGCCCAGGGGAGCCTCCAGCTGTCACATTCAATGCAAGAACTTAGCCCCTTGCCCAGCAATCACAGCCAAGGCCCCACTTTGACAGGCTTTGCTCAGTTTCCTGGTTTTCGCTACCCTTTCTCTTTCAATTGCTAATAACATATTAATTTCTTAAAGTATGCTGGTGGACTTTGAATAGTTCATACAGGAAGAAGTTGTCCTTCTGCAGTCTTTGCTGGGAATTTGCCTGTGACAGGTCTCTGCACTATCTCAAGAGAAGTCATAACCTGGAAACACCTCCCTTGTACTTTGCCCACTGACCCTCAAGAAGAAGGCTATTAGAGAACAACTAAAAGCCTTGGGCTGAGATGTGCTCAGCTTGTGAAACCAGCTTGCCCTCTGAAGAAGATGGCTGATAAGTTGGAGATAGAACTGGGGCTGGGACTGGGTACAAATGTGGCTTCTAGGAAGCTTAGACTAGAACATAAGATAATCTGGTGTGAGCAGAATCTGGACCTGGAGCCCACAGGGGCCCAAGGGGTCCAAGCATGGCAGGGATGGCTGGACATACTAGCACCAGCTATAAATTGAAAGACTGTCCTTCCTGGAGGAGGGAAGACAAAGTGTAGGGATAGTGGTCAAATCCTTGATGAAGGAAGAGGCTAGGGGTGTCTCAAGGACAGAGGACCATGGCTCAACAAGGCTGAGAAGACATACTGGCGCTGTTTTCAAGGAAACCACTCTCCTCTCAAAAGAAGTGCCCTTCAGCCTGGCCAGTTTGCCTGGAGACAAGAGGTGAAGTGCAGCAGGGGGCTCGGCATCTCACTTATAGAATCCTGGGCCCAGAATCCAAATCCAGCACCCTGATTCTCCCTTCCTGTCTTCCATTGCCTCTCCAGCTGGGTCCACATGGTTTGTTGCATGCGTGTTCACATCCTCCCCCTCCATACCCAACAAGGTGCTCTGAAGGTGCTTAAATATCTTTAAAACAGCCAGTCCTCAGTTTTCTCTTTGGCTAGACTCTCATGACTCCTGCCTCTCACTCAGCAATAAGCCAGACTCAGCTGTTTTCAGATCCTCAATTAGGTTCTACATTTCTAAAATCTCCAGGGAGTTCCTATGCTCTTGTGTCTCTTTATTGTCCATGCCTCCTCCTCCCCACCCTACTGGCTCAGGCTTGTTTATCTTTCAAGTTTCTAAGACTGAACTCCTTTTGTGAACTCTCATCACAGCCTGGATTAGGTGTTTGGTGCCACACACATCTGTGTCATAGCACATATTGCAATGCATATTAGATACCTCATTCCCCTGATAACTTGTCTGTATCCCCCACCAGATTATAAGCTTCATCAGTGCCGGGACTGTCTGTATGGACTTGGTGCCCAACAAATATGTGTCCAAAGAGCAGGTGGAGGGAGACAGGTGTATGGAATGCCCATGAGATAATTCATAAGGTTTGCACCACAGAGCTAAGCTCTGCTTCCAGAATGTTCCAGAGGTAGTCCCTGGAACTTCAGTTAGGATCCTAAGGGGCCATTGGTCAGTAATAAGGCAAAGAAGAGAATGGATTTTTATGAGATTATGACGAGGACCTAGAGATTAATTTTCTCAGAACCAGGCCTGCCCATTTGCTTTGGCTGCTGGAGGCTGGGCAGGGATCCAGGAACCATTCTAACCCTAAAAGGAACCTGAGACTCACTTAGAGGCAGTCAGCCCAAGAACCGCCTCCCAGCATCACCAAGCAGCAAGCTCCATCTTCTCTTCTCCTAAGTCTCCATGCTCAGCTCTTTTTTTTTTTTTTAGCACTTTAATTAATTTACTTATTTCTTTACACATAACTAAAAGCGATGTTATAGTACATAAGTTATTTACAACTGTGCAGTAATGTGTTGCAAAATAAATTATCTAGAAGGGAGCAAAGTACATTGTGAAGGTATATAAAACTGTACAGAGTCTCAGATACACTCTGTAGAGGATTATTGGCTGGGTAGTATTTCAAGTTACATTCTCAGAAGGAGAAACAAAATGCCCAAGATTAAAGGAAAAAATATACCAACCATGTGGATTTGACTCCATTAAAAACACTGTTGGAGAGTCCTGGCTGCATCCCTCTGCGGCCAGACAGGTGGCAGCTGGGCCCTCACCACACCAGGTTCCCCAGCATCCCTGTCTGCCCTGAGATCGAGGCCAAGATGCATGCTCAGCTCTCTTTAAAAACATAGCATAAAATTTACCATCTTAATCACTTTTATGTACTATTAAGTACTATTAAGAATATTCACATTATTGCGCAACCAATTCCAGAACTTTTTCACTTTGCAAAACTAAAACTACATTTATTAACCGACTCCCTATTTTTCCCTTCCCCAAGTCTCTGGCAACCACCATTCTACTTTTTGTTTCTAAG